CATTACGCAGAATGCGCTATTTAAATGGAATATTCTCATTTTTCTCTATTCTTAATTTCCTACCCAGCTGGAAGCTGGTTTGTTCTCCCCAGAGTAGGCTGTTGCTGACTGTTTCCTATTAAAGGAAACGTGGTATATTGAGTTGAAACTGTTTGTAAATAACCGCGTATTTTTGTTGACGGTTGTGGTAATTCTCCAAGTTCCAGCTCCTCGAAATGGAACTTTCTGGGAGTTCGCACTGAACACTCTGAGTTCATTATTCGCTGACAAACATTTGTTTTGAATTTCATATGTTAATCAACTGCCTCAATGCTGTTCTTGCATTGCAAATCCTCAGCTTTACGTCAGTATCAGATTTTCCATGTTCATCCATCATGTTAATCAGTTGGATGAAACGTCCCGTCTTTTTCCAGAGTTTTTCTATCAATTGTTATTGTTTTGGACTTCTGTGTGGTGAATTTCATGTTCATGCATTCTCCTTTCTGTATGTTAGGGCTTACTGATGTGTACAGAGGCTGTTGCTTCACTAGTTGTCTTCATCTGCATTTCTTGGTGAGTATGGCATAGAAGGGAGAGGTCGTCTACCATGTACAAATCTTCCGAAAGATTCCTAGTTGTACATTTTACTCCGTGCTTTCCCTCAGATGTCAAGATCTTCATAATACAGCCAGCCACCAGAAGGAAGAAAAAGGGTAGTGTGACTAGCTTTCTCTGTCTCCAGTCCTCAATTGCAATGTATCTGTGAGCTGTCTTTCATGCACCACTATGCAATGTAGCCCGTCGTATGAATTCCGTATGATGTTCATGATCTTCTCAGCCACTCACTACATAATGTCGAGTAACGTTGTTTTACTCACGCCATCAAACGCTTTTGCTTGCGAGGTAAGTTGATGTGTAGTGACGAGTTCCATCTAACTGGTTGTTTAACGATGATCCGTAATGTCGCGACTTGGTCTATACGCCACCGATCAATGTGCAATTCGGTCTCTTAAACTCAATGTTGGGCATCGACTGAATCATTCGTACGGTTCAACAACACTCTGTTGAATACGTTTCCTGGTACTGACAGTAAAGTGGTGCCAAGCTAGTTCTCACATTTTCACAGATCATTCTTCTGCAAAATGGAATTCGGTCCCTTAACCTCAATGTTGGGCGTCGACTGGATGTTGCACTTCTTATAAAGCTGCTTACAATCTCTATAGAATCAGGTACTTACTCTTACTATCGGAAAACAGCTTAAATCATATCACGTTACAAACCTGGAGATAAGACTGACATGAACAATTATCGGCCCATAAATTTTACAGTCGTCGTATCTAGGATTATAGAAAAAATTGCTAGTTCTGAACTCTCCGACTGTTTACTCGCTGGAAGATTTATTATTGATTCCCAACGTTGATTTCTAAAATATCAATCTTGTGTGACATATTACTTTGACTTCATTGGTTTAGTCTATTCTCTGCATAATCAAAGAGTTCTAGTCTTAGTGCTATACCTGGACGTATCCAAAGCCTTTGATATGCTTAACCATCAACTTCTTGTGGATAAGCTCACATCCTACTGGGTCCAACACCCTCTGCTTGATTGGTTTGATTCCTTCCTCGATAACCGTCATGAAGTTGTTAAAATTAACTATTTATTGTCGAACGCTGTCCTTATTAGAAGTGGTGTGATACAAGGTTGTGTCTTAGGTCCTTTTCTCTTTTCAGTTTTCCTAAATGATGTTTGTGAATGCTTCTGCATGGGTGTGCCCTTTCTGTATGCGGATGATCTTTAAGTAGCTTATTCGTTCTGTCCTCATGAGCCAAACAATGTGCTAAATTGCATCATCATGAAGCTTAATAGGTTGCTCAAAATAGCGACTGGGGCTTATAACAACTAAAATATGTATGAATATGTTCCGGTAATGTATCATTCAACTGAGATCTGACCACAAATGTTGCGGTGTTATCTCAGTTACATAGAGTATTAGATTGGTGACTTAGGTACTCCTATGATTCGTCGTTTACAGAACAGGTATTGAAACACAAGTCCAAGTGTCAACGTCTAATAGGTTGCACACCTCGAAACCACCACTTCTAGAATACTCCACGTTTATTCTAAGGAGTGTGTGCTCAAAGAATAAATTAAGGTTGGAATCAGTACAGAGACGATTTAAAATTTGGATTTTTGGAAACGACTGTACCCTGACTTATAACTCGGAATGTAATAAATTTGCACTCGACACTTGATGGAAGAGGAGACTCAAACTAAATCTAATCGTTTTCTTGAAAATGCTTGACAAACTATCCTTTATATTTGATCAAGTAAGTCAATTTGTAGAAACGTCTAATTTCGACATCCGTAACTCCTTGCCACTTGTGAAACAAACCCATTACAAATCGTCCATCTTTATGAATTACTTTACCTGTACATTTACTAGACTCTGGAATGATCTACCACAATCTATCTGTAAGATAGAATCACTCACATCCTCTGTTCTTTTCATTGATGCACACTGCTCCTCTGAAAATACATTAAATGTTCTAGTATGTGTAAGTGTATTTTATTCCACAATTGAGAATATAGGAGCTTTAAATGCCTAGCCATTCTTGCTACTGAATTCACTAAATAAGATGACTTAGCTGTTGTTACTTTACGTTAACACCGTCCCGGGCCACCCTAACTAGTTTGAATAATATCTAAGATGAACTGCATATCACTGAGTCACATGGCAAGTGCAAAATGGTTGACCTGATTGACATATTTTGGTAATTCTTGCTTTGGTGTTCCATGCTCTCTGCTTCCGTTTTAGTTTCTCTAGTTGCAGGTGATTATAATGAATTTGTTGTTGCACAGAAAATGACCTTCAGTGCACCATTCATTAATCAATAAAATATGCACTTAGAAGGAATGAAAAGTTGCCGACCGATGCAGTGCATTTCTGTACTACATCTTTTAAGTGTACTACCTAAACAATTTTTGAACTAGTAAACTTAAAAGAATCTTAAATCACGTGTTTATTCTCTACATTTTATGTTAAAATTTATATCAGGCCGATGATGACTTTAAACTGGCGTGAATTCCGTAAATATAAATTTCAGATTATATGCGTAATCATCTCATATACCTTGACTTGAGGAACTGAAATAGTGAATTTCGCAACAATCGAAAAGGTAGGAAAGGCGAATGTGTTACTCAAAAGGAAATTGTGTGTTTAATGAAATCAAAATGATTATTAACGCGTTCACGGCAGTTTTCCAAAATGTTTTTACACTTTTGAATACATTAATCAGGGGAGATTTGTAATGCGCTTGTTTGTCATTGGTGTGAGGTGTGAACATAATTAAAAGCAAGGGTAGCTGTATATGTGGTCCGTGCTTGAAAAGTCGTTACTCTTTCCCTTCTTTCACACAAGGTAGTAGACGTAGTAGTAGTAGTAGTAGTAGTAGTAGTAGTAGTAGTAGTAGTAGTAGTAGTAGTAGTAGTAGTAGTAGTAGTACTATTGGTAGTGGTATAAGTTACAATATATTTTATACAAATCTGAAGTGATATATTTATTTGCAAACATCTCATTACCACCACCGACAAACTCTCGACTGATAAACTACCGATTCATCCTCTCCTCCCCCCACTTACACATACATCAAAACAGAATAGTACAACTCAATCGGTATACTGCACAGTCGAGCAAACGGAAAGTCAACTAGTGCATCTAATGATAATCAAGTTTAACCAAAGCACCCATAAGAAAAAGAATATTTCGGACGAACGAATCTGGATTGTGAGTAGTGAAAATTAAATTTGAGATATCAATAATTCAATCAACGGTAATCTGAAGTTGTTGACACAGCTTTCTTTAAACTGTTTGTGTTATTTCGAAAGTTAACCAAATAAAGTTGACCGTTCGAAAGTACAAATATTGTAGTAATGAAACAGTAAGCAACCAAAACATTCATATCTAATTTGGTTTATACAAACTATAATGTCATACGAGTTAAATTGTGTAAATACCACAGAGTCCGAAAGGCTACAATAAGCATGGCTGTACTCTCTATATCGACTGGCTTTTTGTTTGAGATATTTTAAATGGAATAGATAGCAAGTGGATCAACAATTATTTTATGGTCACTACCCTAAAAATCTTTGCATGTTTGTAATGATAATGAATTGATGTTTCTGCAGAATACAAGATGAAGTATATTCCCATGTCTCGTTTGAGAGTGAATACACAGTGACCAGCAGGATATATTGATCGTTGCTGAAAAAGCATCATCACTTGAATGACCACAACTAGTAATCTAGGGTGTAACGCCTGTTGCCGATCGACTCATCAACTCCGCGTTACACTCAAAACAATAGCGCTGAGAATTCTGAGCGTCTGATTTTCGAGGCAGTTCGTTCACACAGTAACAGTTAACATGCTAATTATTATGGATTCATTTTACAGCGTGGCGAACAATCCATTGGATCATTACGTTTTGATCAGTCATGCTGCAACTTACATTCATTCAGCCATGACATATTCTTCACACAAACCTCCAATTGTGGCAATAAAACAACCTAATTTTGATCGTTCATTGCCTATTCTCAGCAATGACCTCCATTCTTCTTCGAAGTCAACATCACCTGATCAGACACATAGAGTAAACTAAGCTGATTGATCTCCAGGTGCTGGATACACTTAATCATAATGTCACTCTGTTGAAATTGTGCTCTCCATCGTTATCGAGCGATGTGTAACATACAAACTACCAATCCGCTAACGAATTGTGGCCGTATGTACATACTGCGTTCAATGAATAAACAAATTATGACCAACCACAAATGTGTGTGTCAAAGTGTTATTGTCTGTGTCATTTGGACAGTATGAGTATATAAGCGTCGATGTGATAGTTGATTTTATATTTTCTTGTAGTCGAGGAAGAGAGTCACCAATTTCTTCATCTGACGTGAGAACAATCGGTCTGACAATGAGATATATCAAGATGCTCATCATGATGCTTATGGTGCACATTACAATGATCCAGTTCGTTGAGTCAGCTGTTGATACCTTCAATGGCGAGAAAAGTAAGTAGACAACTTTATATCAGGTTGCCATAACGGTGAGCTAGTAACTACTGATACATAGCTAAATAACGATTTCTTTCTTATTGCACCTACAGAAACAAAGAAGGAAAATGATGAAATGAACCCGACCGATTTAAAAGAGGGAAAAGATGGAGCATTTTATGCTAATGCCCGTCAAATAGGTCCCGAAATTGATGATCATCGTCCGAATCCTGATGACCCTCGACTACGCATTAAACCTCCCAGTGGTGTCAGCATTCCACAACCTCCCGTGCCTCACGATCGTCTTCCGAAAACTGGCAACACTCCCAAACCTCCCGTATATCGCGGTCGTCGTCGGAAAACTGGCGGTATTCTTCGATCTGCCGTATCACACCGTCATCTCCCAAATGCGTGAGATACATACGAAACCTCCTGATGTTGAGGGCGAATATGAAACGAGTGAATGAACATTCTATTTATTTAAAGTTTACTTCTCAACATCAATATCTTAGTCGATGATGATCTGAAGGAGATTTCTTTTCCATTTTATTCTGTTTAAATAATTCGTTTTTAATAATAAGTTAATAAAGATATTTGTTATGAAATGTGAACATTTTTCCTCCATTCGTCGTTGTTTTGGATGAGTCAATAAGTGATGGCTTAATAATTAGGTTTGATTAAAAATGATGCATATGTTGACCGTTTCGTAGCTAGCAAACATCTAGACGCAACAAGCATACATCCTCAATTTCATTTATACACAGCATGTCATCGTCTGAATCATAGATTACGATTGACTGAATACAGGAAGTGTTAGGGCGATGTGGGCATCATTCACTGCAGTAGTGAAAGAGCTGAGCAGTGTATGAGTCCCACATTTTATTAGACCTAATGTTCTTCGGGAATGAAAGCGGTTAATAATCTCTCGAGCGGAACTTTAAATTAACACAAAATCACTCTACTTGAGAGTAATCTGAATTTCAATTTACACACCAAATCAATTGATACTGTGGAAATCTCCCCGATTTTCTAACTTTTACTATAGGAATTACAAGGAAAACGGTTTCATCCAATACGTTGAAATACTGCTTATGAAGTCTTTTGCGATTATCATAATCAGTAGACTTGCAGCACAAATAATGGGTTTTTAAGTTCGTACCACAACAAAAAGTCCACATATTCTTTAACAGACTTCAATGAAGCAAACTGATTCGTGTTCAACTAATAAATGTACACATACCACATATCTTCATGACTAACCAATCAAATCGCTATTTAAGCTCCCGTCACGTTAATCTGGTCTGATATATCATTTAACTATCCTTGTTGCAATTGGCCCATCAATTAAAATTCATTATTGTTCTATTATATTAGTGTGAACCATAATTTTCATCCATTTCGATAAGGCACGCAATACTGGTCGGTATTTTCGTGCATTTCGCTAATGACCGGAATTCCTTTATTTATTGTTCTAATCTAATTGTTCTTACGTTTAGAAACAGATAACTGATGACAGATAGCTTTCACATAGACCCTGAGATGGGCATTATCGCGTTTACAGTTCTAGTAGTATATATGTAGAAAACATCTGACTACCTTGATTGTGAAAGATACTTGGTTGTATGAAACTTGATTCATACACGATGTTCCTGTTGACTAAAATTTCATTTCTTTCACAGATAAACTCGTAAATGTGAATCGATATTCTCCTCAGACGATCTCACCTGGATTGCATTCATCGAAAAACTATCCATCTGATTTTGACTGTGAACATATGTGCTGGTTATGAAGAGCAGTGAAATGGGACAGGATGGGTTGTCTAGTAATCTGATGTATCTATGGTATGCACGAGTAGTGAAAGGTTTGTTGTTTTGCTTCACTCTCCAACCACTTTAACTGGAATAATAAAAATATGAACCTTGACGCTGTCTCCCAGAATTTAAGATACAGCACCGCGAACGGTAAATTTAAACAAATTTAGTAAAGGAATAATGCAGTAGATTCTTTGTCATTACATGCTGGTTGTGAAACGTCACTCGACAGAACGAAGATCACCCTGAATATCTGCAAACCACAGCAAAGTATTCTCCGCTAAATGAAAGATGGAAGAAAATACACATTTTATTTTACTCTGCTACTCAATTGACAAATGTATTAATAGAAGTGTAATTGGAATGTTTGAACTATGAGAAATGCCTGAATGACTAATGAGCTGATCGATTTTATGAGAGAACGAGAAACATTGTCTTGCTAATAATCATCAGATTGACAGACCACTCCGCAACTGTGTGCGATTTGATGGTATAGTGTGCATTGATTATTTTCATAGTCAATATGACCTAATTGAACATTCATTGTACCTGTCTACTAAACTCGCTTCATCGTTAATGAGATGTCGTTGTAAATAATAGTATACTGGTATCGATTTGTGCATAACATTTTTGTATTGACCACAATTGTAGTTCCAGTGAATTTCCTTGACGTGATATGATGAGATCTGTGCACTAGCTGATCAAGTTCCCACTATGCATTGGAATGTAATGTTTCAGATCATGGAGTTCGAATGGATTCTCATCTGAACTCGGAAGTCTGTGATTCGATGTATGGATAAGAAGCTATTGCGGACCTTGTCCAGATTGACCACAATATTATGTTTCTCTGTTTCATTCAACAGAATAACATTATAGTGTGTTTGCTTTAAATGAGATAAGAAGGGACCGTCAAAAACATAGCATGGGTTTTTGTAAGAAGGTATTATTCATAAATCATTAGTTTAGACCCTTCGGAGGGACTGATATTTTATCAGAAAACAAAATAAAGTTGTTTTGACGAATATTGAAAAACGTGATATCCTTTCATTAAACACATCTCAACCCTTTGCACTATTCAAGGCAGAAAAAACAAAAAGGTAGCAAGTGACAAAAGTCGAGCAAGAACGGAGATAGTCAATTTACAGGTAGGATACACGGAAGTAAACAAGTAAGTGAAGAAGAGCATCAGGACAGACAATAAGAGTGATGTGAAAGAGCTAGCCACGACAGTGGAAAGTGCTGCAACAGAAGGAGATTGATGTATCATACAACGAAACAACTGAGAAATATGGTAAATCAGAGTGGCCAGTCAGGGACAAAGAAGGCAAGACAATCACTAGAATTCAAGGACAGAGGAAAAGGTGAGTGAAACACCTCATTTTAAATAATAAATTCTGCGTGATAAGTACAAACGATGAAAATATAGTGTTATCGATATCTTCAGTCACACCCAGTAACGAATTCCATCGCTCAATATAACTAATCGCAAAGTAACAATTACAATAAAACATAACTCAGGTGTGATCAGAGAATTGAGTTCAAAAATATATTTCGAAACTCAGGATTCAGTCTGAATCGATGCACAATACATCAATGTCATCCCTGTAGATTGTCTGTCGACGATTGTCAACATGTATTGATATCAAGAAAAAGACACCATGATGTATGACAGTGCTGATATATCGACAGCGTGATTACAAAACAGATCAGAATGCTAATCGTAGTTCGGCATTCTTGTCAGTCAAAGAGTAAATGATATATGGAAATGAACTGTATTTGCTGACCAAACAGAAAAATCGGACGCGATTACGAGTTCATTAATTAAATTGTAAAGGAAAGACAACTAAAATGAGTGTTCAGATAATCAGTGACAGGAAGATATCTAACTACAAGTAATAAAATCGCGCTTCAGCAAAATAAGCTCCAAGTAGAGAAATGTTCGCACTTAATTTCCATCTGTACTTTGTATTGACGTTTACAAAGAAAACGTCAGCTTCACATTGAACCATCCACCTCACACTACTCCGTATCAATAACATCACTCTTTCGCGTTACATATTTATTTGACAATTGGAAATGAATTTCAAGCTACATAAATACCAACCATCATGCCAAACAAAATAAACATCTCCAAATCTGAACCCAACTACTGAGTATTAGTAAGTAATATAATAACTTCAATAAGATATAAAGTGAGACGAGATGAAGTCAAACATATATAACTGCATGCATAGTGAGTAGATGTCACTAGTAAGTAATTCCGTCGGACCTACAACACTTGTTCATAAACATCTTGTGCTCATTAGTGACTAGATTCAAGATGGATTTCCTGGAATTCTGGTGAGAATCCGTGACCAGTGAAGTTCTCGTGGTCAACAATTTTTAGTTTGTATGCATCAAATACGAACTTAACAAAAGAAAATGAATTCATATTATTCTGCATCGGTCTTCGTTCTCTGTGTATGATTTTTTGCTTCGTGAGGCAAATTGTATAAGCAGACTGCATACAGCAACAACTCAGGATGATATGAGTTCAGCAGGTTTGGTGAATGTTGCCTATCAACTTTAGTCTCTTAACTGCTGGAAAATATTGCCGTACAAATGTACACACAAACCTACATGTGTCACACCGAATCACATAGCAAAAGACCAGATAGATTATATCTGCATCACCAAATAATTCAGAACATCAATGTAAGACGTGGGGATCGGGAGAGCTTCCGATGTAGCTTTAGAAACTGAAGGTAGAAAATCCTCGGATAACTTTGGAAATAGCAGTAAAAAGTTTCAATACAGACTACCTTCGACATGAGTACATACCTGACCAACTCAATATAGCTCTCAACAACAAGGTTCAAGCCCCACAATATCTACTGGAGGAAGGAAATATTTGTGGAGAACAAATGACATAGTCAATCAATTTAATATAGCTCTCGGAAACAGGTTGTAAGCTCTACAATGTCCACTGTAAGAAGTAGAAGCTAAAATGAAGTAGAACTGGGAAGCTGTAAGAGAAGCACTGACTTCATAGCGAAAGGGTCTGACGGGTGGGAAAAACCATCATCAAAAGAAATGAAGGTAAATAATCGTATAAATTGTAGGATAATGAACAGATGATATGTGGTTAAGAAAGCATAAGGAATGTAAGCTGATCGAGAAATATGAAAGAAGGCTGTGATGTTTCAAAACCTAAGAGTAAAACTTTAAATAGGCAGAGGAATATAACATATGAACTCTGAAAACAACGTCTCAAACAATTAAAATTAGTGTGACATGAAATACAAAGAAATCACAAATATTTGCGATATTCTGAGCTTCTTATAATTGACCATATTTTAGGAGCACTCATAGGGTTAGTGAGTTATCTGTCCACGAACTGAGTAAAAAATCGTTTTGTTCAATGCTCATGCATTTGATTTTTGCGGATGATTCTTCTTAAATAGTCAACTATCCTCGGTTAAGAGGTTTGTTAGTCGTTACAGGTCATGAGGTAATTCATTGGGTGTTGGTCAAAGGTATTTCTAGGGCCTAATATAATGTCATTAGAAGCACCATCCTTTATCTAAATCGGAAAGTCAGGTAACGGTTATATCGGTATGCTCTC